CCCTTCTCATAGCTTCCCCCAAATTCTAACATATTTTTATTGAGACATCCATGATTCCCTATGGTGTGTGTTCTCCCGACTGATGAGTAATACACTTAACTTGTCCAACTATAGAATCCCTGGACAGAACAAATGATTAAATGCTCGACTACTAACGGACCGAATGGTTGTTGTTGGTGAACCCACTTACCCAGAGGCACCTTGGAAGGAAGGCATGGAAATCTGCTTCTGAAAACTATAGCCATGAAAACCCATATAGTGCTGTTCTACTCTGTGACATGTGGGATCTCCATGAGTTGGAATTGATGTGATGGTGTTGGTTGTTTAACTACAAGTATTCCTAGGGTCTTTGGCTGAAGGGCATCGACATTATATATATTCATATATCTTCTTTTAACTTTCTTTATTGTGCCTTTTGATGAATACCAGTTCTTACTTTTAGTTCAAGTTTTCAATCTTTTTCTTTGGGTGTAGTGATTTTTATGACATATTTAAGAAATCCTTCCTTCATCCAAGATCATGCAGTTTTTTAAAATAAGTTTTGAACTTTTAATCCTTTTGTTCATCTGAAACTCATTTTTTTGTGTGGCTCCATATGAATGTAAAGATCCAATCTCATGTTTCCTCCCATATTATATCTTTTTCTCCCAGCATCATTGTATTCAATAGTCATTCTTTTCTTTGTTTTCCCCATTTATGTGTGGAGCCATCTTTGCCATATATCAAGTTTCCATCTATTCACTGGTTAGACTAGAGCTTTTCTTGTTGCTGTTTTAAATAACTTAATTAAAAAAAAGCAAATTAAGACTATAATTGAGTTAATTTCAAAACCTGTGAAACATCACCCAAATCACAATTAAAAAAAACAAACCTGTGAAATGTTTCTTAGATAAGTACATAAATCGTGAAACAGTATAAAAATTAATGATGTTTTAAATTGGTATCAGTTGATGTAGTGTTTCAATAAAACTTGTCAATGTTTTGTTTTTAAATGTGAAAGGAATACATAAACCCTGCCTTTTTAAGGAAGGCACTCTTGTGCCGTGGTTAAAACATTCATTTGCTAATCAAAAGGTCAGCGGTTCAAACCCATTGGCTGCTCTAGGGGAGAAAGATGAAGTAGTCTGCTTCCGTAAAGATTACAGCCATAGAAACCCTATAAGGGAGTTCTACTCTGTCCTATAGTGTCCCTGTAACTTGGAATCAACTCAGTGAGAGTGTGGAAGGCTGAAGTACAAGGCCAAAATGGCCCCTCACTGAAAATTACAGAACTTGAACAGACTAGTAGGCATGATTAAAGTGGACATTAATCATCGTTACCAACTTGCTATTTTTCTCTTCCTTTTGCTTTCTTTTAAGTACATAGAGTAGCCAACCTGTTTAGATTTGTTGTTTTCAATTATGTATTCTTCTAAGCATAACCCTCTCCTGTGACTGGTTTCGGCTGAGAACGGTAACCTCTGAAGCAAGATGATGGCTGGGAAAAAGGGACACTGAGTCTGGAGTAATCAGGGAAGAGAACAAAGACATTCTTGGCAGTCCATGGGATCTTCAGCTCCCTTCCCATTTCCCTATATAATCATGTTTACCCCTTCATTGGAGGAGACAGACACTTTAGAGAAGTAATTCTGTCTCCTTGGATATATATACTCAATAAACCTTTTGCTTTCCCTCTTCAACCAGTTGTGATCATTGGCTCTTCAAGACAGGGGATAAGGACCTTGTAGTGCCTAAGGCATTTGACTGTGAATCAGAAGTCTGGCAGGTCAAACCCACCAGCCACTTCTCGGAAGGAAGGTTGGGCAATCTACTTCCGTAGTGATTCCACCTCAGAAAACCAAGGGGGGGTCACTATGAGTCGGATCTGACTTGAAGGCAGTGAGTTTGGTTTTAGTTCCTGCAATAGCAGTGGGTTTGGTTGGGTTTACCTTTTGAAGACACGTGAGAGTTTGATACAAAATGGTAAAAGTAGAAATGGAACTGTTATGAATTGAATGATGTTGAAAAGATTTGTTGAAGTCCTACAGCTGATACCTGCAAATATTGACCTTGTTTGGAAAGAAGGTATTTTAAGGTGTTAATGAAGCCAGCTTTTTTTTTTTTTTTTTTTTAAAGGTATTACCTTTAAGGTCAGTTAAGCTAGAGAAGAAGCCTCTTATCCCTTCTGGGGATGGAACCTAAAAAACCCAAACACGCCGCCATCAAGTTGAATCTGACTCATAGCGACCCCTCCTTGGGTTTCTGAGGCGGTATCACTATGGAAGTAGATTGCCCAAACTTCTTTCTGAGGAGTGGCTGGTGGGTTTGAACCGCCAGCCTTCTGGTTAGCAGTCAAGTGTCTTAGGCACTATGCCACCAGAGCTCCTGGGATGGAACCTAGGGGCACCATAAGCACCATAATAAAAAAATGAGGGACTCATTACCAAACTGAGTGGTGTGCTTATAAAAGAGAAGAAACATGGAGATACTGAGGAAAAATGACCATGAAACAACATTTATGCTGCAGCTGCTAGCCAGAAAAGCATGGGGCTGCCAGAAACTAGGAGAGAGAAGAAAGGATCTTCCCCCAAAGACTTGTGAGGGAAAATGGGTCCTGCTGACACCCTGAATTCAGACTAATGGGCTTCAAAACTATGATACTGAAATAGGATCAAACACGGGTCCCTGCCTGGTGCGCAGTCAGGCCAAAACAGTTTACACACCGAGTGATTTAGAGGAGAGAAAATTATTTATTGCAAAGCGGCAATACAAGGAGCAGGGGTACCCCTACCCAGATCTGGCTCCCCAAAACTCCATCAAATTACGGTTTTGTAGGTTTCAGAAGAGAGGGTTATAAAATTTCAGGAATTTGGGTATGAGATGGTTGACAATTGGCTGAAATTTCCTTCGCCTTGATTTAAAGGGACAGTAGCGTTTTGAGCCAGTGCGCTTACTGGATGAGTCACACTGGCTTCCTGTCAGCAGCTGATTGGGGCTTAGGCAGAGGAGAGAGTTAGTTCCCAGTAACTTTGTTCCTCTCTGCCCCACTGCACTGTCCATGGGCCAGAGTTAATTTTCAAGTTGTTTTCTAAGACACATTAACACGTTTATCACCTGTGGCTAAGGAAATAGCAGGAAAGAATGTTTTTTTTTTTCCATTCAGTTCTTAAGGAACTGAGCTTATCATATTTACTCATCTGTCTCCTGGGAAACCCAAGGAGGGGTCCTTATGAGTCAGGTGACTCAACCATGGCACATAACAACAACAACAACAAAACACAACAACATCTGTCTCCAACCAGGGTCCTATGTGTTTACTCATCTATCTCCATGGGGTCTGGGGTGGGAAATAGTTGAGGGGAATTAAGTTTACTTATCTATTCCCATCTAGGGGCCTATCTGTTCCAATTACCTGTTTTAACCAGGGTGGGGAAATAGTTTTGACTTTACTCGGTTTCAATACCATAAATTTATATTTTTATAAGCCACCAGAGTTTTAGTACTTTGTTCAGTCAGCCTTAGGAAACTAATACAGGACCCAAAGGGGTAAAATGCCTGCGGGGGAAAAAAAAATCATAGCTTTTATCGCAATTAGGGACACAAGAGAGGGGAAGATGTCTAAGATGAAAAAAGATTTTTTCCCCCAAGTCTCTTATTCCTAAACTTTCCTTAAGAAATTCCTCAGGTGCTTTGAGACTTGTGTTAAAAGCCTCCAAGAGCAGAGTTTAAAATCTAAACCCCTGTTGTTGTTGTTGTCATTTGTCACGGAGTCAGACACGACTCATAGTGACCCCTCAGACTCATAGTGACCCCTCAGACTCATAGTGACCCCTCATTGGGTTTCGGAGGTGGTATCACTAGGTGGCAAGTTAATTTGTAGATACTTAATTATCATGTAAATCCACTGAGTTAGCATCAGCTTCCAGTAATTTATACACCGTGTCTACAGAAAGCAGCTAATGGGAAAGGACTATGGAATAGGAGTTAAAACTGTTAGAATGTTAATCACTGTCTTTGCATCAGTGGGTTTGAGTCTGATTCCATAAGTAAGTATATAGTGTAGGCTGAAACGATATGATTTTCAAGTTTCCTTCCCAGGGCAAGGGTTCAAAGTCTACTTGAATAATTGCAAAATATATCTGCATGAATTCAATTTATCCTACTTACTTGCTGCAGCAAGTAATTTGTAATGTGTGAGTCACAAAGTGGTTTCCCCACAGTTCTCAAAACCTGGAATACTCTTCCAGTTACTGATGAGTCAGTTGCAGCTAATAGTGACCCATGTGTGCCAGAGAACTGTGCTCCATATGGTTTTTGGCAGTTGATTTTTTTTTGGGGGGTAGATCACCAGGCCTTTCTTCCTAGGCACCTCTTCGTGGACTCAAACCTCCAATCTTCCCAAGTTAACTCTGTTGTTGTATGCCGTGGAGTTGACTCCGACTCGTAGAAACTCACTGGGGCTTTTGGTGGCCTTACAGTTAACAGGAATTGGAGCACTACAATAGTGCAAGCAAGCTACTAGGCCAGGCTTTCCGTCAGATCGAAATATTTTCAAGCCAGAAATATCAAACGGTGTGAATTCCTTCCTATAGCCTCTGTCACAACAACAACAAAGGCCAGGGCTGCAAAAGGGCTTGGACTTCGCATCTGCTCCTCGCTGGTTGCGCTTTCCTACCCCTAAGCCCACATCCCTTCTTTACAGTTTCAGGCATCAAGTTCTTTTCTATCTTAGGTAGAAGATGTGGGCCTCCTTCGGAAATTCGCGCGTGCTGCAAGGAAGCGGGTAAAACCCCAAAATAAGACCTAACACCACTTCCTTTGCACTCAGGCAGTCTCGATGGCGGGCCTGCAGGGCGACAGAAGATGCTCGCGCAGGTCGATCAGTGACTGCGAGGCGCTGGGCCTGACCTGACCCGGAAGGACTTGCGCGCGCGGTGACCCCCCCTCCCCCGCCAGCTTCCTTAGCAACTGAGCCCGCGCGAGCAGCGAACAGCTGTGATACACGTTGGGTCTGCCTCCCAGGATGCCGCTTCAAGTTAGCGATTACAGCTGGCAGCAAACCGAGACTGCAGTCTTTCTCTCTCTGCCTCTCCGAGGTGTCTGCGTCAGAGACGTAGACGTGTTCTGCACGGAAAACTATCTGAAGGTAGAAATGCAATCATGCGGGCCAGGTTACTGGGGGTGTGGTCCTAAGCGTCTAAGAGAGCGAGGCTGGGCATACGCAACAGGCACATGCTTGCAGATAACCATCCTAAATTTTTAATCCTATTTTAAAATGAATTCCATGCATCTTATCAGTAGCTTCCTCATACACCTTACTAATTATTCACGATATGGAAGAAATTTAATGGACATTTAAGAAAATGATTTTTACCTCTTTATCAATTATTTTTTAACGTATATATTTTTAATTTATGTAATTAAATTAACTTCTCTTTTTCCCTTTCTAAATAGGTCAACTTTCCTCCATTTTTATTTGAGGCGTTTTTGTATGCTCCCATAGATGATGAGAGCAGCAAAGCCAAGGTTGGTAATGATGCTATTGTCTTTACCTTGTATAAAAAAGAAGCGGCCATGTGGGAGAACCTTTCTGTATCAGGTGGTAAGTTCATTATTAAAAGATGCTCTTTTGCTTGTGCATTTTCTATTTTATACTTTTTTAAAAATTCTGTTTTTGTAACAACTATATTGCCCTTCTAGGAAAAAAAGAAAAAAAGCACAGCAGCCTGACTTTAATGAGATAGTGCTTCAGCCATCACTTAAATAAACTCAAAAGATTGAATTATTCAAAAGTAGAGCACATTGATAATTGCCTATAGACAGATGTGGATCTGAATCTCAGCAGGGAGACATCCCCTCCCACCTCATATGACGTTTATTGAGCACTTACTTTGTGTTAGGTATTAGCACATTTATTAATCCTCGAAAGAACCTTATCACTTAGGTAATACTGCCCATTTTTATGGATGAGGCCACTGAGGCGTAGAAAGGTTGAGTAACTGGTAATGCTCACAGATAGTAAGTGGCAAAGTTGGAACTAGAACTTTAGTAATTTAACTCTAGAGCATTGGTACTCAACCCTGGTGACATCTGTAATAAGGGAAAAGAGACTCCAGATTCAAACAGGTTCAATAGATGCACTTTTATTAAGCCTTGGACAAGACAAAGACAAAATAAAGACAGTCATCCAGGATGAGGGAAACCATCAGCATGTACACAGTACACAAAGCTGAATGGAGTCTACTGAGTGATGGCCATGGAGCTAATTTTATGTGGTTTGAAAAAAAGAGAATCATCACAAGATCATGACTGGTGGCCATCTGATTTGATTCAGTGAGTCTGTGATGGGGTGCAGAGTAATGTTGCAAAACAGAGTGCTCTAAAGTCTTTAATTTCTTTCAACTCTTGCTATGCTTTATTTTGAAGTAAGAAAGGACCAAAACCATCATCTATTATAACAGCTTATTTTAAACTAAACAAATGAAGAGAGAGAGGGAAAAAAAAAAAAAAAAAAACTCCCCAGGTTATTCTGATACCTGGCTAGGTTTGAGAATCATTGATCTAGACATTTGCCTATGTATCTCTCCTGATAGCTGACAGGTTTCCTAAGGAAATGTTTTGTCCACTAGCTTTTTAGGATACCAATGAAGGTCATATCAGAAAACCTGTCATTTTCTCTCACAATGTATTTTCTGATGTGAAATACTTTATACTATATCAAATTCTCTTCTTAACCTGATGGACACCTTATTCAGGGGTAGGGAAGGAATTTACTTTCCTAATCATGGTCTTCCTGTCTGTTTTACACAGTTTTCATCATCTAAGCCGTTTGGTGTATATACTATATCAAATTCTCTTCTTAACCTGATGGATACTTTATCCAGGGGTGGGGAAGGAATTTACTTTCCTAATCATGGTCTTCCTGTCTGTTTTACACAGTTTTCATCATCTAAGGCATTTGGCTGCCAACCGAAAGTTTGATGATTTCAACCCACCAGCTGCTCTGAGGGAGAAAGATGAGGCAGTCTGCTTTTGTAAAGATTTACACCTTGGAAACACTATGGGGCAGTTCTACTCTGTCCTATATAGTCACTGTGAGTCAGAAATGACTTGATGGCAGTGAGTTTGGTTTTTGGCTTGGTTTTCATTGAAAAGCTAATTGATTCTCCTCTTTTATAGTTATGTGGTCAACTTTTCCAGAGGTTGGCTATTTAAACAAGGGGTTGGCAAACTTTCTATAAAGGGCCAGATAGTATTTTAGGCTTTGCAGGCCATATAGTCTGTTGCAGTTAGTTGGCTATGCAGTTGTAGCATGAAGTCAGCCATAGACCATATGTAAATGAATGAACATGGTTTTACATATACACACACATACACATATTTTTCTTTTTCTTTTTCTTTTTTTGGTGGCATAGTACCTAAGGCATTTGACTGCTAACCAGAAGGCTGGCAGTTCAAATCCACCAGCCACTCCTCAGAAGGAAAATTGGGCAATCTACTTCTGTAGTGATGCCGCCTCAGAAACCCAAGGAGGGGTTGCTATGAGTTGGCTCTGACTCGATGGCAGTGAGTTTGGTTTTGGTTTGGTATTGTGATTTGGGTGAAAATTTACAGAGCAAATTCGTTTTCCATACAGCCCTGCATACACATTTTGTTTCATGACATTGACTGCAGTGTCCCACAAAGTAACAGCTCTCTTCCCACTTCTTCCCTATAGTTACAGTTACTTCTTTCCTATTTGCTTCTTTCCTGTGCATTCCTGCTCCCTGAGCTATCTCCATGTGCAAACACTCCCCTTCTGTTCTCTGATAGTTGATTGCTCCAAGGAGTGTATCTTTCTGATGTAAATATTCACCCCATATGCCTGTCTGTTGTTTAGCTGGAAGCCAGAGGAGTGAGTTCAGTTCCATAGCTGAAGGGTAGCTAGGGGCCATAGTGTCAGGGGTCTCACCAGGCTCTATCAGACCAGTAAACCTGGTCTTTTTGTCTGATTTTGAGTTTTGTTCCACATTGTTTTTCCACTGTATCCAGGATCTCCTGCACTGATCCCTTTCCAAGTGGTTGACACTGGTAGCTGGTTACCATCTAATTCTTGGAACCTTATGGGTCATATAGGCTGAGAATCACACAGTCTATGAGTCCCTTGGACTAATTGTTACCAGAGCATGGTTGTATTTTACTACAACTTTCTTATATACACTGAAATTTGAATTTCATCAATTTTTTTGTGGCACAAAATAGTATTTTTTCAACCATTTAAAAATATGAAAATCATTCTTAGGAAAATAGCAGGCTGGATTTGAGGCCATACTTTGCCAACCCCTGATTTAGACTATTTGAAAGTCTTATAACTAATTAATATAACAACTAGTGAACATTGATTCTGCTTCAGAAACCAGGTTTGAGACTCCTTTATAAATCAAACTCAGTTTAACTTAGTTATCTAGTGCTACTGTAACAGAAATACCACAAATGGGTAGTTTTAACGAACAGAAATTTATTTTCTCTCAGTTTAGGAGGCTAGAAGTGTGAATTTAGAGCACCAGCTGTAGGAGAAGGCTCTCTGCCCACTCTTTTCAGCTTCTCTTCCTAGGTTCCTTGGCAATCCATGTGGCGTATCTTCCCCTCCCTTTGTGTTTGCTTGCTTAATCTGTTATACAAGAGATTGATTTGAGACAAACCCCACGCCAATACTACATGTAATTCAACGAGAATATTTATTTAAATAATATTTTTTTCACATAAAGTATTATGGAACTCCAATCTATATACTAAACCTATCTGCCTTGAATCATATTTGCCCCATCTTTTCCTGAAGTTCTTTCTTCATTTCCTTTAGGTGTGGAATATTTAATTTGGAAAATTGATGCTCTTTATTTATTTATTCATTTATTGTGATTTCGGTGAAAGTTTACAGAGCAAATTCACTTTCCATACAGGAGTTCATGCACACATTATCTCATGACATTGACTACAATTTACTCCAATGCAACATCTCCCCTCCCACTTCCTCCCGATAGTTACCTCTTCCCTGTGCACTCCTGCCCTCTGAGCTGTCTCCTTGTGGATAAACAGCCCTTTTTTCTCCCATAATTGTTCTCTCCAAGGAGTGTATCTACCTCAGGTAAATGTTCAAGTCCTATGTCTGTTTTTTGTTTGGCTGGAAGCCACAGGTGTGGGTTTAGTTCCAGACCTGAAGGGCAGCTAGGGGCCATAGTCTCAGTGGTTCCACCAGGCTCTATTGGACCAGCAAACCTGGTCCCCCCCCCCTTTTTTTTTTTCTCCAAATGATTTTGAGTTTCACAGGAAGCCACAGGTGTGCGTTCAGTTCCAGACCTGAAGGGCAGCTGCTAGGGGCCATAGTCTCATTGGTTGCATCAGGCTCTATCAGACCAGCAAACCTGGTCCCCCCCTTTTTTTTTCTCTGGTCCTCCCTTTTTTTTTTTTCCAAATGATTTTGAGTTTTGTTCCACATTGTTCTCCCTCTCTATCCAGGATCTCCTACATAGATCCCCCTTCGAGTGGTTGACAGTGGTAGCCGGGCATCATCTGGTTCTTCTGGTCTCATACTCTTATAGGCTGTGGATTACATGGTGTACCGGTCGCTAGGACTAATGGTTTCCGTGAATCTTTGGTTTTCTTCATTCTTTTTTCTGGATGAAGAGAGACCCATTGTTGCATTTAGTTGGCTGCTTGCAAGCTTTTACGAGCCCAGTTGCTACTCACCAAAGTAGGAGGTGGAACAAAGTTTTGTGTAGTATATTATGCCAATTGAGCTTGATATCCCCTGCAACTATGGTCATGAACCCACAGGTTCAACTACTCGCTCCTTCTGAGTAGCTGGCTGTGACCAAGAAGTGACTACAACCTTGTCCCTTGTCAGCTCTACTACACATCTGGGAATTCTTACAGAACATATAAATATACTTGTAGAACCATTGTCTGCCAATCCTATACATGGTCTTGGGTACACTCCCTACTGCATAGACATACCTAATAGTTCAGCCTGTCCACCCATCTATTCACACATATACCTGTGTTTGCCTTCAATGATAATGCAGTACTGTATATACAAAATTATTATTTCTGCTCTTGAAGTTGGTTAAACTCTTGTTCTTCTTGTTATTTATTAACTAGAAGAAGAATTGGGAGAGGCTTCTAGACTTAGCTTCCAGTCCTTAGACTTACTCTAGTCCTAATTCCCAGCCAAGATCTTGAATGAGTGAAAATTATATATCCTTTGGCGCTCTGGTGAAGTAATGCCTAAGGCATTTGACTGCTAACCAAAAGGCTGGAGGTTCAAACCTACCAGCCACTCCTTGGAAGGAAGATTGGGTAATCTCCTTCCATAGAGATGTTGTTGTTGTTATGTGCCATCGAGTCGGACCCGACTTACAGTGACCCCTCCTTGGGTTTCCGAGGCGGTATCTACTTCAGTATCACTACGGAAGTAGATTGCCTGACCTTCCTTCTAAGGAGTGGCTGGTGGGTTTGAACCGCCAGCCTTCTGGTTAGCAGTCAAGTGCCTTAGGCACTGAGGGGTTGCTATGAGTCGAATCGAATCGACTCAATGGCAGTGAGTTTTTTGAGTTTAACTGAGAT